CGGGCCACAACGCCGCTGTCAGGTTCCTTCCTGGTGGCTGGTACTGGGGAGGGGGAGCGGGGCCTGTTTTCTGTTCCTGTGTTGATTACTTTGTTAATCAAATGTCTTAATTAGAAATTGGAACCTGGGAGAGTCCTGAAGTGAGTGGCGTGCAGCCGCTGCCTAGGACGTTTCACACGTCCTCGGCAGCCATAGGAGGCTGTCTGTATGTGTTTGGAGGGGGAGATAAAGGAGCAGAACCAGTTAAAGACCAGCGGCTTCACGTGTTTGACACAGGTACCTCTGCACATGTAAAGGGCCGTTGTACAAACGGTGTAATCTGTCCTCTGTTGAATGGGAGGTCTGCGTTTCAGATTCAATCCAGGATGTGGAAATGTTGGGCTCCTGCTTTGGCTACAAGTTTAAATGGATGGCTGGATGTTCCTTGCTGTTCATGTGCACTTATCATTATGTAGTCACTGGGAAATCGGGCCAAAATGGCAGTGTCAGCTCCTGGGATGCCATGGGAGATGGGAGTGGTTTGTCACATCTGCCCAACAACTGCTTCCTTTCCATGGTGGTATCGTCCTGTGCTGCTCGTGTACTGTTGGAGTTGTCCCGTTCATTCTTGGGGCCCTGTGTGCACCAGAAAGGGTTTGCTTTCCAGTTTGAATTAGTCTTTCCAGCTCCTGAGTGACCAGAACAGCGCACAGAGCTCCATCAGAAGGCTTGCCTGTGCTTTACAAAGTGGCAGTAACTCCCCTCTGACCCCACTGGAAGCATTTCCTTAGGAAGCCTCAGCAGGGCTCTGGGGTCGGTAGTTTGTCGAGCTTCCAGCGTGCTCTTCCTCACGCTCATGTACTCCCCATTTTTAGCCACCTTGACCTGGTCCCAGCCAGACACTCACGGTGATCCCCCCTCTCCTCGGCACGGACATGTTGTGGTTGCAGTCGGGTCCAAACTCTTCATCCATGGAGGTTTAGCTGGAGATATTTTTTACAATGATCTATTCTGCATTGATATAAGTAAGTATGGACATAGGTCCTGCAGAGCAATATCTGTTGTGTGATGTGGTTTGATTTTTGGGGGACCTTTTTTCTAGAAGATCAGTTCCTAAGTGCTTAAAACACCACCCTATTTGTTTAAAACAACAAAACTTGTGGGTTTTTTATAATGCATAACCACAGATGTGTTCTTTCTCTCCAACAGATGACATGAGGTGGGTTAAGATACCAGCCACTGGTGACGTCCCAGGAGGACGGGCATCCCACTCATCAGCTGTGTTTAAAGACCACGTGTACATTTTTGGTGGAATAGGTCCAGGCGGGACACTAGATACCACATACAAGTACCACACAGGTAGGGAGGCTTCCCTCGGCTGTGTAACGGTCAACGTGTTACCTCCCCAGTTCCTGGGCTTCATCCCCTGGGAGTCAGTATCATTGCACTGGAGTTACACCAGCACAAGACTAAATGCTCTGCAATGTTGAAAACTAGTCTAGTTAATGATGTCTCTGTTCCAGCATGCTTTTTAAGCCTGCAAAGCTACAGTTAAAGATGTGAATGTGTGTCTTTGCACTGCAGAGAAGCAGCAATGGACGCTCCTACGGTTTGATTCCCCTCTGCCTGCTGGGAGGCTGGACCATGCCATGTGCGTCATTCCCTGGAGGGCTGGGAAGAGTGGAGATGGGGGAACCATCACCTGGGAGGGTACAGCTGTGAAAGAGTCAACAGCATCAGAAGGTGACAAAGCTACACCGCTCCAGGAGGAGTGCGCTGAAGACACAGTCGTGCATCTGCTGTTGATATTTGGTGGGATGGACATGGAGGGGGACATTTACAGGGACTGCATTGTCAGCCTGATTGAATAGCAGAGTGTGGTCCTGCGCAGCACCAGCCTTTTCTATACTGTTTTTTATAGTCCTGTCAGATCAAGTTAATTCTTCTGTCCAATAAAGAAATTCTCACCCTCAAATGGATAGCACTGTGCTAACACACCCTGAGATACACAGGTACAGCGCTGCCAGAAGGCTCCAGCCGCTGTCACTTGAGCACAGGTTGCTGAAACACCAGAGCCTGGGATGGTTTGCACTTTCTGGTCTGGGCAGCTTTCCACAAGGAGGAACTCACATCCTGTGGGCTATGGGGACACTTCTACCTGCAATGGCACAGTGCTACCAGGAAACAAAGTGGTTTTTTTGGGGGGGTAAGTGGAGTTTTAGCTTCACTATTTTGAAAATGAATGAAAACCCAAAATTGTTGCCACACCAGGGAAAAGGTGAAGTGCAGTGGTTTTTTGGGAGGTATTAGAGCTTGCACCACAAAAGCTCCTCTGTACTCAGTTTCTTATCCAATCCTTAAGGATTAGAGAAGGATCATGGTTAAATCAGGCAAATTAGTCTGGGTTTGTTTTGGTTTTTTAAAGATCATTTATTAGGTGCAGACTAGTTTTCAGTCTTCAGAAAATTGGTCAGTTGTCATAGGGGACTCTTAAGCTCCTGAAAGTAGTTGAGTACTGCAGGAAGTCTTATTTGCAATTAGGCTGGTCCCCACTCCCTCACATGCTTTCCATTTAAGCTTGCATCATGATGCAAACAGTGCTGCTGCAGCTCTGATCAGTAACCTCCCACTCCAGGGAGGCTGCACAAGCAAGGTTATCATTCAGGTTATGTACCCCCTTCCTTATAAGGATCTATTACATCATAGCACTGTAGCAAGGTTTAAGGACATCAGCAGTTCAGAAACAGTGTAGCACCTGTCAAGGCAACAGGCTGTTCCCTAGCCCAGAGCACAGCAAGTGCTGAGGACAAGGCTGTGCAAGGTCAAGGTCCCCCAGGGGAACCTCCCTCTGCTCACAAGAGCAACCCACCAAAGGCTTACCACAGCAGTGGCTGAGGTGTAATCCCTGGCTGCTGTAACCAGGTAATGGAAAACACAAAGCTGGAAGAGTCCAGTGTAAATAACAAATTTATTGTGGTCACTGCAGGTAGAAAAGTTCTACACCAAGTTTGCATGACCAAGTTGTTAAATAGAATGCTTCCACTGCCAGTACTTCTACCCCTGTTTCGCATTTACACTCCCCCCACTCCCCTTCCCTCCCCAGACATCAAGCAACTGCTAATGAAAAGCAGTATACAGCCACTTCGGGCTAGCATTTCCAGCTCCACTCGCAAGTGAAGATTCAGAGTTACATTCCAAATTAGAAGTTCAATATTTTAAACAAGTGTTCCTGAGTCCAATATATACACACACATTCAGAGATGCCAGTATCTACAACTCATCCTTCTCTGCTGCTTCCTCTTCCCCTGGGGGAGGGCCTGCACTTCCGTAGAGCTTGCTGACAATGGGCTGAACAACTTCCTCCAGCTCCTTCTTTTTTGCTTTGAAGTCTTCAATGTCAGCATCTTGATGGCTTTCCAGCCACTCAATCTTCTCCTCTACTGCTTTCTCTATTGTTTCTTTGTCTTCAGATGACAGTTTACCACCCAGCTTCTCTTTGTCCCCAATCTGATTCTTCAGAGAATAAGCATAGCTTTCCAGCTCATTCCGGGTATCAATGCGCTCTTTAAGCTTCTTGTCTTCCTCTGCAAACTTCTCTGCATCATTAACCATCCTCTCAATCTCTTCTGGTGTCAGCCGGTTCTGATCATTTGTAATCGTGATCTTGTTTTTGTTGCCAGTGCCTTTGTCTTCAGCTGTGACACGGAGGATGCCATTCACATCTATTTCAAAGGTAACTTCAATCTGGGGGACACCACGAGGGGCAGGAGGGATTCCAGTGAGATCAAAAGTTCCCAGAAGGTGATTATCCTTGGTGAGGGGCCGTTCACCTAGAAAACACAATACGTTTTTTTTTCTTTCCTAACTGCAGTTTGTACTGATTGAAACCACAAGCTACATATACACACTTCTTGAAGGTGAGGTTTTAATTCCAACCTGACATCTGCCTAAACACCTCCTATGGTATCACCTCCTACTCTGAGCTCTTCAGAATGCAACCATGGAAAGAAATTTGAAAACAATTCTAGTAACAGGTTTTGATGCAGGTCAGCAGCCTAATCAGAGCTGCTTCAGAGCTTGCACTGTTACCAAGCTCTTTATGTAGACATTTCCATAAACACCTAGAAGATACCTACAGCCTTAGTGACAAGATAGGAGTATGAAAGTGCTACAGAGATTCCAGCTGTCAGATGGGCCACCACAGGTGACACCTACCTTCGTAGACCTTGATTGTCACAGTTGGCTGGTTGTCAGAAGCCGTGGAGAAGATCTGAGACTTCTTTGTGGGAACAACAGTATTTCTGGGGATCAGTTTAGTCATTACCCCTCCAACAGTCTCAATGCCAAGCGTCAGAGGACAGACATCAAGCAACACCAAGTCACCTGTAACAGATCAGAGGCAGGACTGTGACATGACTTCAACTGGGCAGAAACAGCACCCCATCACTGCAGACAGGACCCCGGAGCCTCAGAGGCACAAAGCTTCTGAAAGACTGGGAAAGACTGAAGTCCTACTGCATTTGTTGTCAATAACCAACATCCACTATTCAGTCAATGCTCTCTTGAAGAGAGAGAGTCATTACCTGTATCCTGGTCCCCAGAGAGAACACCAGCCTGAACAGCCGCACCATAGGCTACAGCCTCATCTGGATTAATGCCACGAGAAGGTTCTTTCCCATTGAAAAACTCCTTAACTAGTTGCTGTATTTTGGGGATGCGAGTAGAGCCACCAACAAGAACAATCTCATCAATATCAGACTTCTTTAGGTCAGAATCTTCCAGAACTTTCTGAACAGGCTTCATAGTGGAACGGAACAGGTCCTAGGAAGACAAACACCCAAGCAAGACTGTAAGACCTTATTCCCACATCTCATCTCCCAGTTACACAGCCTTAGGTGCTAAGGACAACCCCTACAGAGGGGGAACATCTCCTGGCTTCTGACCAGCCTTGATGAGACCTCCACTATCTTTAACATGTACACAGCCCCAGCCACCCTGGCAAGGAGCAGCTGTCTGACTTTTAGTGTGAGCAGAAGTTATTTATACTCCAAGTGCGATTTCACACCATGAAATACTGCACATTCACAAGTCTCCAACCTAGAGCTGAGGTGATGTAACTCTACCTTTCTAAACTTACCATGTTCAACTCCTCAAACTTGGCTCGAGTAAGTGTCTCTGAGAAATCCTCTCCCTCAAAGAAGGATTCTATTTCAATTCTAGCCTGGTGCTGTGATGACAAGGCTCGCTTTGCTTTCTCCACTTCCCGTCTTAACTTCTGCACAGCTCTGTTATCCTTCCTGACATCTTTTCCAGTTTTCTTCTTGTAGAGTTTGATGAAGTGTTCCATAACACGTTGGTCAAAGTCTTCTCCACCCAGATGAGTGTCACCATTAGTAGCCACAACTTCGAAGACTCCATTGTCAATTGTGAGGAGGGAGACATCAAAAGTTCCACCACCCAAGTCAAACACGAGGATATTCTTCTCTCCCTCCCTCTTGTCCAGTCCATAGGCAATGGCAGCAGCCGTCCTGCGAAGGGAAGGCCCATTCAGAACACTGGGACTGCCACCCCCATTTCCCCAGGGGCAGACAGGCAAGGTACTTACGGCTCATTAATGATTCTCATCACATTCAACCCAGCAATAGTACCAGCATCTTTTGTAGCCTGACGCTGAGCATCGTTGAAGTAGGCTGGCACAGTAACAACAGCATGGGTAACCTGAATAAGGAGACACAATTTTGTTACAGAAATGAAAAAAGCACATAGCTGGTCAATAGCCACAGCAATGCTGGTAACATGTAGCCACTGTTCTTTAAATGGAGGTGAGAGCCCACCATCAGCTGAGCCCACTCCACTGGGCCGCCTGAGGGGCCAGCAGCACTGATCAGTTCAGGATGACAAGGTTAATTCAGATTCAGCCCACCTATCTTTACTTTTGTAAAGCTGCTGCTTTAACTTCTTATTAGTAGCACTCATGAACTTACTTTCTTCCCCAAGTAAGCTTCTGCTGTTTCCTTCATCTTTGTCAGGACCATAGCGGAAATTTCTTCAGGAGCAAATGTTTTTGTCTGTCCACCTCCAACGTCAACTTGAATATGGGGCTTGGCTTTCTTCTCAACAACCTGGAAAGAACAATGTATACTGTCCTACTCAACAATCCACAGAACTATTTCCACTTGTCTGTCTCTTTCTTCCTGAGGATTTAAGCAAACTCTCTGTAGCAGAAAATGTGAATGCTGGCTGACACAAGGAACTGTTCTCTATACAGCACAGCCCTCTCAGGAGGGCTTGGGAACTGCAGGGGTGCTCAGAAGGGCACCACGGTTTAGGACCCTCTTCTGACCAGACACGTAGGTCCCCTCCCACCCCCGTGTTCGTACCCACCTTGAAGGGCAGGTACTTGATGTCCTGCTGCACAGAGGGGTCGTTCCAAGTGCGGCCGATGAGCCGTTTGGCATCAAACACAGTGTTCTCGGGGTTGGACGTGAGCTGGTTCTTGGCGGCGTCCCCGATCAAGCGCTCCCCCTCGGGCGTGAACGCCACGTAGGACGGCGTGATGCGGTTCCCCTGGTCGTTGGCGATGATTTCCACGCGGCCATTCTTGAAGACGCCCACGCTGGGGGTAGCGGAGCAGTCAGGCGGCGCTGAGGCCTGCACCCCCCCT